CCAACAACCATCAGTTGTGGAGAACTATACTTCAACATCCCTATCAATATTCAAGAATTCTCTTTGTTGTCTAGGCTGTAACTTTTTGGGTAGTGGGGTGGGGTATGAATTGTCACATGAACCTTCTATGCTCATCTTTTTCAATTGTAAGTCTTCAGTCATTGAGATCAATGTCAAGGTAGCTTTTTTGCTCTGTACAGGCCCTGCTCACACTGTTAGGAGTCCCTCAAGTAGATCAGGCTACACACACACAATTGTAACATATATGCAGAGGGCCTGGTTCAGTCCCAGACAGGCTTTCTGGTTGTCGTTTCAGTCTCTGTAAGCCCCTATGAGTCCAGTTTAGCTGATTCTGTGGGGGTTTTGTAGTATTTTTGAACCCTCTGGTTCCTACAATCCTTCCTCCCCCTCTTCCACAGGATTCTATGAGCTCTGCCTAATGTTTGGCTGTCTGTGTTCGTTTCCATCAGTTGTGGGTTAAAACTTCTCTGATGACAATTGAATTAGGCACCGTTCTGTAAGTAGGGCAGGATATCATTAGGAATTATTTCATTTACTTTTTTTGCTTTTTATTTTTTGCTAGTTATATTTTGTTCTATAATAGATCTCTGGGCTATTAAGCCTCTAGTTCCTGGTGCTGCAGGCAGGGGTGGGCTCCCCCTCGCAGTATGGGTCTCAAGCTTGACCAGTCATTGTTTGGTCACTCTCACAATTTCTGTGCCACCTTTACCCCAGTATATCTTGTAGTTAGGAAAAATTGTAGGTCAAAAGTCGACTGCATAAATTAACCTTGATAGGAAAAAACAAAGTTGGTTGAGTGGAGAAGAGGAAATGGATCATGAGAGACGTCTAATTTGTTAATAGTAACAAAACAAATGGTATAAAATTGCCAAAAGAACTAATAAAATGTATTTTAAAACTAAACAAATGTGCCGGGCGGTGGTGGCACACACTTTTAATCCCAGCACTCGGGATCTCTGTGGGTTCGAGGCCAGCCTGGTCTACAAGAGCTAGTTCCAGGACAGGAACCAAAAAGCTACGGAGAAACCCTGTCTCGAAAATCAAAATAAATAAATAAATAAATAAATAAATAAATAAATAAATAAATGCACGTTAAATAACACTAATTCTCAAACTGCAGAAAAAAAAAAAACTTTCTGACCTTTGCTAAGCAAGATTTTTTAACCAAAATTTAAACTGTGAATATTTGTTTTCTCTCAAAAGAACTTTCATTATGAAACAAATCAAGTGTTGATATCTTCCTGCATCTAATCAAGAACACATTAACTCCAAAAAAAAAAAACAAGCAAATTAATAAATGTACAAAAGACTCGAATTGTAATTTCTCCAAAGATAAAGGACCAGAACCCATATAAAAATGTGTCGAACATTGTTAACCATAAGAAAAACTCAAATTGATATCAAAATAAGGTTCCATTTTACATAGATAAGGATGTTTTCTTTTTGTATCTATATAATCATTAATGATATATATTCTTAAATTGCGTAAGTAATATTTTACTTACTATATTATGATGTAATGTTTAGTTTTAAATTTATACCTGGTTCGAGCCGCTTAAATTTGTGACTGCTTCATTCTTGACTATCACTTACCATCTTCAAGCAGTATTCAGACACCTATGGCTTCCAGCAGTGACTGACCCCTTTCACCCAAGTAAGCATTAGACATAAGCCTGCCCACCACTGCTCTGTGAAACACAGATTCTGCATTTTGAGGACATTGCAATCCCGTGCAACAATAAGGGAGGTCAGCCAGTCTGTCTGATGTGGAAGGCGCTGGCTTTGGAATTTCTCCACATGCATGACACTATTTCCCATGAGCACCCATCAAAGCTATGCCTGATCTTTGCAATTACAGAGACCTGGAGTACATTGAGAAGAAATAGTGGGCTTCTGCTGAGAAGGCTGTGGCCAAGGAGAAATTTCAAGGGGAATGTACTATGCCAGCTCCTGGATTCATGTACAGGTATCTTCTGTGCCCAAGCAGCACTGAAGATTGGAGTGCCCAGGCAACCACTGAAGCCTGCCCAGCAGCTCCCACAGCTCAGTCCACTAAGTGGGTTGGAGCCACCACTAAGTGGTTCTGAGCTGCTCTGTGGACACCTGAGTAAAGAGGAAAAGTGTAGAAGGAAAATAATGTCCCTAAAAATCTCGAGGAAAATTATGTGGTTAATCTCATTTGGAAAGGTTAGAATTAGCTTTCCTTTCCTGATTTTTCTAAATGCATACTACTTGTTCAATATCTTTTATAATACATGCTATTTTTTATTTGTGTTATGGAGACTATACTTTTATATTATTCTAAATAGTATATATTTACTTTAACACAATTCGCTTCTAATTACCAGGAATTTGGAGAATTTGGGTCTTCCATATTGGTAAGATAGATTTCTGAAAATCCCAATAGGTCCTCAAATCTCCCGAAAACATGGAAAAAAGACCCCACTTTCAAAAAGCTGCTCGTTAAGAATTTATAATGGGATTCTGTCTTAGATCTTACCTTTTGTCAGTTCTTACATGATTTTCATGGACTGCTTCTTTTGATCCAACACATTTTTATGAAACCTTAGATAAAATAGGTATGCAAATCAAACATGTACTTAGAAGACATAAAAAACAATGTTGTTTTATTTATTCACAGCCTGGACCTCATGATACAGGCTAGGTTAACCTAGAAATCACACAGATTCACCTGTTTCCACCTCACAAGTTCAGCGGTTGAAAGTATGAGGCACCAGGCCTGGCATGAAATTTGTTTAAAATAATTCTTTATTATACATATAATTTTTCCATTTATTAAAGATAAAATGAAACTTCCTTTTGATGAGATGAATATTTACTTTTAGATAAAAATTGCATCTTGACTGAATACTTGATTATACAGGATGCTGAGCATCTTCAACATTTTCCAGAGTTGATTGTTATTTTGATTTGGTAATTGTCAATTCTGTTAGGGGCACTTCACATAAATAAATAGTGCAAAATGACAGAAGTATGTTTAGGGCTATTTCAAAAATGGTTAGAAATTCTCTCCTAACCTCAAACCAAAATAAATTCAATCACTTTTCATGAGACTCAATCAGCAACTCAAAAGAGTAATGTTTAAAATCAAACTTCCTACCACAATACAATCCAAAACTATACTAATGTGATACTGACATTGTTTTCGATCATTAAGCCATTGTATTCCCATAATAGAAGAAAACTTTATAGTAAAATATGACAACTCATAACATACAGATGCTAAAATTGCATCCTGGATGGTACATAGCAGGTGAACATGCATGATGCAAAGGGAACTCATTATATCTTAGGACTTAGTCAGAGATGAAAACACAGTACAACAACGGTGAGCACTACCTTGAGAATAGCAGATTCAATACATATTTGATTTTTAAATATTACCCTGTACCTAAGGTACATTAAAAATCCTTACAGATGCTGATTTTTATCACCTCCATATTCAGTGACATGACCCTATATGTGGTTGTGATGCACATTTTAATAAGCTGGACAGTTGAGAAGCAGACAGCAAAGTACATAGGCATATTTTCTATAGCACTGAGCCATTAATATTTTCTGTACTTTTTACTCTTTTTTGAAGACTCCATTCAAAAATATACAAAATAGCCATAGTTCAGAGGTATAGAAAAACAGGCCAACATATTTTACTCTGTTCTAAATATCCTTCAAAAAAGGAATAGATAATAAAACAGTGATGAAAATAGACAATGGATATTATTCAGCTGTAAAGAAAAATATGTGATGAATGTTACAGGTAAATTGATGGAATTAGAAAAATATATTGAGTAAAGTATCACAGACTCAGAAGAACAAACATCACATGTACCCCCCCTCATTTGCAATTTCTAGTTCCAAATCCCCTGATGTAAATTTATAACGGCATAAATACAAAAACTAGGGGTAAAAATGACCATGGGGGACACTCTAGAAAGCTGAATAGCAGGATGCAAGTGAGATAAAGAAGTAAATGGGAAAAGTCAGGAGAAGAGTTTAACTGGTGAGGACAGAGGAGTCAATACAGAGGCAGAGGGAGGAAGGAGGAATAAAAAGCACTAAAGACATTTGAAAAAGCCATAGAAGGTCACATTATTTATATTTAAGGAAAGTTACAATAATACATATAAATATGTGATTATATACATTTTCCAAGGAAATTATGCCATTTGGGAAAATAATGCTTCTCACAGGAGCTATAGACTATTCGGCAAAATCCACAGTGCTAGGAATAGCAAACTCCCTTTCAAGTTGTTGGTCAGAGAAAGAGTAATCGAAGAGATTCTCAAAACAATGTAGGCTATTGCTATTGCATCTAATTGCCTCCCAGAAGTTGAGGATGGGTCTCAGCATTAGTCAGGAGTTTGTAATGAGCATATATATATGTTTGTGAGTGTATGAAAATGGCTTACAAGCTGTGATCTGTGTAATTCAACAGTGGCTGTCTCTTAAAGAATGTCCCCAAATCCAGTAGCTGTTTAGTCCATGAGACTGGACATGTCAGCAATAAACTATCTGATGGTGTAGTCTGAGGGAATTCCTAGAGATCTTCTGGTCTTCTAAACTGGAATTTCAAAGTTGTTTTTAATACTGGAGAAAGACTGCCTCAGTCATTTGATAAACTTGACAGTAAGAGTGGAGGCAAGCATGCAAAAATCCAAAGCTTCCTTCTACTATGCTCTTTTGTGTAGGTTGCCAACAGAAGTTGTAGCACAAACTTAGAATTGGTCTTTTTACCTCTTCTGTAGAAAGTGTTACAGCTTGTGGTTATCCGCCTACTGGGTTGTGGCCTCTTATACTATATAATATGCTGATGCAGAGCCTGCATCAGCCCCTTCTCCCCCTGCTGCTCTTTTGTATTGCTGGATTCGATCTCTGTTCTCCATTCAAGCAGAGAATTCTTTTTTTTTTTTTAAGACAGATTTTGAATGTTTGGTTTATTTAAGCAGGCTGTCTGAGGTCCCACCACAAAGAAGGCTAGGAGGTGAGAGGCTGAGCCAGGCAGAGAGCTCCCCAGACATCAGAAGAGGAACGACTCAGCCGAACACCCAGAGCAGCATCAAGGACAGGCTGCACACTAGTGGCCAGGCCCTGTGAAGCTCAGCTCCACCCATAGCCTCAGCATAGAACCTCGCCACCTCCTCGTTAGGGTTGCCTTGGGCTGGGTCGAACCACATCTGGATGCAGCGGCCGCTCCCTCGGCTGTAGTTGCTGAGTTTGTAGGAGTGGCTCCAGAGTTCCTCACACAGAGTAGCAGGTGTAGGGAAATAGAAGGTGAAGGGTTGGCAGGAGACCCCTACAGGGCACTGGTTATACCCGGAGGTCCAGTTCCACCCCTAGTGCCAGTTGCTCTTGCAGGTGAGAGAGGCGCGGCAGTCCTCCCACCATTGCTGACAGTCCTCTCTGCACAGGGGAACATCAAGGATTCGTTCTTTGCGCCAGCTCTGGTCCACCTGCTGGGTCCAAGGTCCCAAGTTAGGAGAACACTCGTAGAGGCAGGTGTCTTGGATAAAGTGTCGTTTGCATTTCGATGGCATCTTTCCACAGTGGTCCCAGTTGAATCGGTACAGGTAGGAAATGTCCTTGTGAGCTTCCTGGCTTGTGTTTGCGGTGCAGCAGGAATTCTTCTTCCAGGGACTGCATCTGATCTCCAAGCCCAGGCCAGAGAAATCAGTCCTGCTGGAGCGCCAGATGTGTCGTCTTCAGCTCCTGCGGGGTCAAACAGCCCTGCCTGCTTGGAGCACAGACTAAAGCTCCTCAAGCAGAGAATTCTGATACGTAAGTTTACCCCCAAATAAATAACCATCTGTTTCTCAATTCTGAGCTAGTATGGGATTTCTTTTAAGCATTCATTCCAAGTTTGGCACCCATGTGGATTCAAACTCCATGCCTACCGGGTGGATGGCCTAAGGACCTAGTTGTTCCATGTCCCAGTCTCCCAATCCTGCCCACTTGTCTTGCCTTTTCCTAAGCGGTTTGTTTGTTCGCTTGTTTGGTAGAATCCTCGCCACAGCAGAGTTTACAGTGTGTGGCAACTTGGAAATTTCCCAAGCACACATGACTGCTGCATTCCTTGGGGCGGTTTCTTGCAGCACGGTGACTTGTGCAGCTTCCGGTTTCTGCTCCCTGCCCTTGAGTTCTGGGTTTCTTGCTCCTCAGAAAACATACCTCAAATGATCTAGTCAAGAAAATTATTCACAGATGTGCCCGGGAGCATGGATTTTAGCGGGTTCCATATGTTCTCAAGTTGAAAGACAGAATTATCCATCAAAGTCTATTGCTGAGAAGACTGTGCACTTTAGACAAAGAAATTGGAGGATCCAAGCTGGATCTTACCTGAAAGCTTACTCCCTGAGGACTTCCTTTCATAGTACTGTACAGTGCTGTGAAAGATACCAAGGAAGTGAAACAATCAACAGTTCCTTTCTGACTCTATTCCCATGACCACTGAAGCAAGATATTTCTAAAGATGCACTTATATCTTAGCAGTAACCAAAAGATGTGTAGCTGGACTTACAACCTACTCAACAGGAGGAAAGTCAAGACTGGCACTTGAAATCTGACCAACTAGATGAGGATAACAGTATAATAGATCTTGGAAGAAAGCCTATTGCCACTTTCCTTAACCATTAGAACTCCAACTGCATTCTAAATATTTTCCTTATTCCCACAGAAAAATAGAGCACTAACCTTCATCCTAGAAACTTGTTTTTACAGCAGACAAAGACCATTACAAAAAGCCATAGCTGATTAAAATGCAGAAAGCTACTAATTATCAGCCCCAACTGATGCATATACAACACAACCCCCATTCTTAAAGAAACATTGTAGAAAAGGTGGCAGAAAGACACCAAGAGCCAGAGGATCAGGAAGTCTACTGTGAGATTGTGTCTCCTCAAAATAACAGGGAATTTTTACCTATGATACATCAATGATTTGGCTGCTTGAACATGATCTGAACAATGACAGAAGTAAAATATCCTAACACAGAAGGTGAAAATCTCACGAGTCCAAACATCCCATGGATAATTTCCCAAATTGGTTATCCTATATCCAATGGTCATTTCTTAATTTATATATATATATATATGTGTGTGTGTGTGTGTGTAAAATAATATATGATATATGTCACAAAATAAACTCAGCAAATTATGTTTATATATTTATGTGTGATATATGTATGTAACAATAACAGTCAAAGAAAAAGCGGCCATATATTGGGAGGGAATGATCCAGAATATGGGAGGAGTTGAAGGCAGGAGGGAATATATATAATTATATTTTAATTGAAATTCAAAAAGAATGTACCTTATTGTAAGTTGAAAATGTCCCAGTCACTTGCACATTGTGGCACATACCATTAATAACAGGATTCTCAAGAAGAAGAGGCAGGACAAACTCTATGATTTGGAAGCAAGTACAAATGGAGACTGCTTATTTGTTTCTGGGTCACCCAGACCCGAATAATTACACAGAAACCACATTAAATACAACACTGATTGGTCTCTTACCCCAGGCTTCTTATTAGCTAACTCTTACATTTTAAATAAACCCATTTCTATTAATCTGTGTATCACCATAAGGCTGTGACATACCACTAAAGTCCCAGCATTTGTATCCTTCAGCAGCTACATGGCATCTCTTTGACTCTGCCTACTCTCTATATATCACTGCTCAGATTTTTCACCTGGCTTTACTCTGCTAAGCCATTGGTAGAGACAGCTTTATTCATTAGCCAATAAAAGCAACACACACACACACACACACACACACACACACACACACACACACACGGACATCCCACATCAGGCAAGGCTAGTCTATATTCATAGATCCTGTCTCAAAAGATAAGAAAAGGAAAAGAATAAAATAAAAAAAAAAAAAAACTCTCCAGTGGAAGGCCATACCTGCAAGGATATATGAACAGGGAAAACTGTATGTGATTAGTGTAGGGCCTGGGTCTGCCCTTGTTCCTGGGGTGCATCTGGAGGACAGTTTCTGGTCAGCTGACAAAGCATTCTGTTTGTTCCTGCACTTCCCCTGCCCCACCTGGTAATTAGCTGTAGGGCATTGACTCCATTGTTGATATGGGAATTTCCCACCTGCCTGCACAGAGGTCCTTATGCAGCAGTTAGGTAGATAAGGACTTCCCCAAATCTGAATAAACCAGCAGTTCGGCTGAACTCCTTTCGAATGACCCTGGTCTCCTTGTGTGTTCTATCAATCTCCAGGCCCTTGCCCTACTCGTGTATGGTACAGTGGCGTGTGAACTGTACAGAGGGAATAACACAAAATCGGTGTTACAGATGAGTATTTAAAAAAGATGACACAACATTGGGTGTGTATCAAATAAAGGATGGATCTGGGAGGAGTTGGAAGAGAGAGTGAATATTGCCAAAATATGTACAAAGTTCTCAACAGCTTAACAAGAAATTATTTAAACATCTTTTTAAAGAGGGATGCAGAAAAAAAAAGCAAAAGCGTGAAGAGTGGGAAAGATATACAGGCTGTAAAACCTAAATTGTTTACAGCTTGATCCATCATAAAAAGAGCAGGTCTCTGCTTTAGAGCATAGTCCTTCCTTCTACATGTCTTCAATTTTCCACGGCACACTGGGGGCATCAGCATAGCATTAAGCTGATCTTGTCTCTTTGGCTGTTTGAAAACTCCAAAGTCCTAGAGCAGGAAGGGGTCTCTAATGTCACCATCCCGCAGCAGCATAGTATTAAGTCTCGGGTAGTTTAATCCTGGGTACTTGCAGACTATTTCTCAGCCAGGGCTGTGCAGGAGTTGTTTCATGATCTCGGAGCATGTTCTCCATAGTCTTTCTATGATGACTTACTGACCAACTTCTAGATAATTCAGTTATTCTGATCTTTGTCTCTTAAAGTCAGCCATACTACACTGTATGCATGGACTCCAGCATACACGTGCACTTGGATGAGGGAATAGTTAAGAAGTGATGCTTATTTTGTCCAAGAACTCATTACAGTCTTGAAACAACACTATAAATTAAACATAACAACCCCACTTAAGACATGCTGCAACTGAAAGTCATGAAGTTAAAATTACTTTTCATAATTCAGAGAAAATTACTCTCTTCATTAAAATACATGAGATAATACATGTGTGTAATATAATAGGACACATTGCTGTAGATTTAATTGAGGATATTAATGGAGGTGGAACATTCTATGATACCAGAAATCCATTATAACTGCAGTAAAAACACAAATAAAAACAAATAAGTTTCTTTTATCCTCAATAATGAAAAACATTGGTTTCTAAAATGTTGCATCAGTTTGTAAACATTCCAAAATAGAGAAGAAATTTTCAAAGCTTGAAGTAATTATGCACATTAACCTTTGTAGCACATAATTACTGAAATAATTACTAGAGTTATTTGAGCTAGCTAAATAAATGCTTTGTATCTTAATAAGTGTATGTAGTCACATTGAATACTTAATAAAGTAAATGCTATACAATAGTTCATTTTCAGAAAATAATTCTAAGTCAGTGACAGGTGAGCAACAAAACAGGAGTACTTGGGAAAACATTATAATTCTATGAAGAATCATTTTGAAATGATAAGGTATTGTACCTAGTAAATGGAATTGAAATGCTTTGCTATATTCTAGACAAAATATATCAACTGAATTCTTTCTAAAACTCTACAATTTTACAAATTTCAATATGTAACATTCACACTTGATATAATAGTGCATACCTGTAACCTTTAGCACGTGGGGAGCTAAGGTAAGAAGTTCATGAGTTTGAATATAGCCTAAATTACATGGTGGGATACTGTCTAAAAATATGCCATTCACAATGGTATTTTAAATTCTCAACTTTTTTGTCTATAGTACATGAAAATAAATTTATTACATAAATAAATTAAAACCTGTATTTTAGACCAGCCTGGTCTACAGAGCTAGTTCCAGGACAGGCTCCAAAGCCACAGAGAAACCCTGTCCCGAAAAACAAAAAAAAAAACAAAAACAAACAAACAAAAAAAAACCCTGTATTTTAAGTTGTTACTCCATTTGTATCTTGTATGTGAGAATACTTTTTGGATGGACAGGAAAATGAAAATCTAGTTGGAAAAGTGAAAATACAGGCATTCGACTTAATTATGTCTTTTATGTCTTTACAAACTTTCATTTAGAGTCACATAATTAATATTATATACTAAAGAGTATTTCATTTGATTCTTCACTAGACTCAAAATCTTGTTTTCTAACATTCAAATTTAATGTATATCAACTATAGTGTAGTAAACATTATTTCAGATGCAATATATTAAACATATACATAGCATATATAATGCATAATTAATAACATATGTATGATATCCCTTAATAGAAGACCTTGATGACTGAGAAAAGAATGTTTCAAAAACAATTCCTGAGTCTTCCAATCTGTTGTGGTTTTTGTTCTTAGAGACAAGGTGATAAATACATTATGTTAAACATAAAGGATATTATTGCTGATATTAAGCAAGGCCAAAAAAAGGTTAAAACGAGATTAATACTATACACAGTTCAATTCCATGAAGAAGGAAGACAACGTTGGAAATACACTGACACCTGATTTTTGGTATGTGGTTAGCCTTAACTTTGTGAATGTAAATATATAATAAGGTCAGAAAGGAATGGATTACTCTAAGATCTTTGAATTCTTAGGA